TTTCACCAACTGGCAGAATGGAACAGATGGCTTTGGCCTGATCACAGTGTAGCTGGATGTGTCCAGTCTGGCCATCTTCTAGGCAGGCTTATGTGGCCTCCAGTTCTGCTGATGGTGGATTACAAGTCTGATGTTACACTGGGATCTGCATACACTTCCCTGGCAGTGCTTAATGGATCGCTCACAAAGAAGATGCATCGGTTTGCCTCAAAAAAAAGAAAAAATTAGAATTTCTCTCTGCTCAAAAAAAAAAAAAAGATAAAATTGTATTAATTTTAGGTGAACTGAGGAAATAATAGCGCACATCGTAATCTCACCGCCATGTGTTACATGTATGTCTTTTTTGTAATATCATTTTTTATCTAACTAGAATTTGCTGATCAAAGCACATTGCATAGATGTGCAGTCCTCATGCTGCTGCATAGTAATTAACCCATTACAGACATTTATTCTCATTAAAGAACAACTCCGGGCAAAATTGTTATTAACCCTTGCAGTGGGGCTACCCCCGAACTGCAAGGCCTAACTGGACCTTTTCATCTAGCAACTACAATTTTAAAAAAATGTTACACTTACCCGAACCTGAGAGCCAGCCAGCAATCTCAGCGCTCCCTCCAGTCCGTCTCCTCCTACACTGTAACAATAGTATATCCCTCGGCGTCCTCAAGTCCAATACACAGTGCATAGGATGTGAAGTGCCAAGGGCCATACCATCACTGAAGCGTAGAAGGAAAGAGGCAGAAGGGAGTGCTGTGACAATCGGCCAGCTCCAAGGATCGGGTGAGTATAACTTTCTTTTTTTAACCTAGACAAAAAAACAGCTGTTAACCCTTCCAGTGTGGGGGGGAGCCCCACTACAAGGGTTATAACAATTTGTGAACAGAGTTCTGTTTTAAAAGTAAAAAATAAAATAAAAAATAGACACATTGGATACCTTGCAACCCTGAACACATCCTTATTCTAAAAATAAATCATACTCTTTGAAGGTCAACTCAACCCAAAAAAGGGAGGTTTCAGCTTTTTAATGACTGTTGCCAAACAGAATCGTGCGCTGGCTCCATGGGGACTCCTGTCACAAGATATTCCCAACAGACATCCCTGCTCCACCAAACTACTTGGCGACGAGGAAGCATGGATCCGGCTTCCCTGCCAATCAGGAAGCCGGGCAGCGTGTAATGACTCGCCGCCTAGCTTCGTGATTAGTCGGGAAGCTGGCCAATCAAAAAGCAAGATGGCGAGCCATCACCCTCCACCTGACTTTCTGATTGGCCAGAAAGCCGGCTTCTTGCTCCCTCGTCACCCCGCCAATCAGGAAGCCGGGCGCTGTGTAAGGACTCCTTGGCCGGCATCCTGATTGGCCAGCTTCTCGACCACTCAGGAAGCCCAGCAACAAGTCATTACACGGCGCCCGGCTTCCTGATTGGCCAGAAAGCCGGTTACATGCTTCCTGCTGATCGGTAAGTCGGGTGGCGAGTCATTACACGCAGCCTGGACTTCTGATATCGGTATTGGTGAGCACCGGGAAAATAATATCAGTACTCGTACTGGATAGGGACAAACCAGTATGGGTGCATCCCTATGCAGAACCATTATGACATCATAAAAAGTATATTCTTTTTCTCAGAAGCTACAATTCTATTTTGGCTGAGTTGTGTGGTTTGTTTCCTGGAATCTAGAGTTAATAACGCCACATTCACCGGCGGCACTGCCTCACTTTGCAGATCTCAGACTCAGAAAGAGTTAAACACTAAAAATAGAGCAGATGAGGAGACAGCAAATATATAAGATGACAGCTCAGAGGAAAAGGTCACAGGTCCCCACATATACACCATGTGTCATGGTGCACCATCCGGCACCTGGGTTTTTACATAACTTTATAAACTACTATTGGTCTCGTACAGCAACCCGGAGCAAACATCTACAGCATGTAGGAACTCCCTACAGGGAATCAGAATGCTTCTTTCAGCAGCTTAGGGTGGTCACAAGAATTAAAGCTCATGTAAGATTGGTTGCCTGGGACAATGCTTCAAACAATACCACATACCTATTACTTAGAACAAGTAGTGTAACGCAGTACGCTCAGTACCATGGCATGCGTTGTTTCTATCTGCTTAACTGACAGACGGAACATGGACACTACCCACAATTGCACAAATCCTGTGTGTGATACATACCGTATATTCGTTTTACCAGTACTCTTCTTACAGTATATATGAAGTCACATGTATTGAGACGCTCATCACATAATGCAGGCACCACCAATAAACATATTGCTATTTGTTCTTGAGCAACTGTACAAGGTGATGCTTTTTTCAGCATGTGACCCCCAACTCTTTTATCCAAGATGCATGCCTAGGCTATGGGGGGAGTTTAAGCCAAAGCAACCGGCCACTGCCAGCAAATTGCAATGGATTATAGGGGATAGTGGACAAGATGACAACTCTACCACAGCATAAGCAGCCTGTCAGTAGCGTTGTCACCCAGTCACAGGAAGCTTAAAGCAGAACTCCAGGCAAATCTATCTTTACCCTTGCAGTGGGGCTCCTCGCACACTGCAAGGGTTAGGTGCTCATTTTGTGTAGGGACCAATCTAAGAGCAAGCCGGGATCATGGTTCAGGCGAGTATAACTTTGCTATTCTAGCTCCCTAGATACAGCACTTAACCCTTGCAGTGCAGGAGTCGGCGCACGACAAGGGTTAGGATTTAATTTGCCCGGAGTTTTACTTTAATCTATATCTTTTGTTATTAGTTTTGGATAGCGAATAGTTAAGCAGTAGTTAGATTTTCCGTATGTCATGTAATGCTTTTTATGCCTGAATCCAGCTGGGGAGATTTCCTTGTAGACAGGAGAGAAATCCTCAATCTTAACACAGTTATCACCCCATTGAAAGGTTCCCCCCCTCTATTCTTGTTCTGGTGACAGCTCACAATTTAGGCTACTTACATCACTTTCAGTCTTACTGGCAATGGTTACTGGGACAAACAGAGCAAGTGACCCTCTCCAGTTTGGACACAGCAATAAATACCTGGCAGGGGTCGTATCCTCTCACCACTAATAAAGAGTTTGGAATTTACATACATTTTAAGAACCAAATGCTGGCAGGAATAAATATTTTTTACACTTATCAAACAGATTTAACAAAATGTTTTCAATGGCACCAATAAATGCTGACAGTATCACAGTCTACATGCACTATAAAGCAAGCCTGTGCTGACAGATATGCAAGGCCTGTCATTGCCGTCCCCATTTCTGCAAACCTTCCTGTCCTACGTGCCATTTCTATGCTGGTAGATTTGTCCTCACCCTTTCCACGTCCCTGGACCACCCCATGTCCTGCATGTCAGATCTGGTGACAGACGTTATCCCCCACACCCTTCACTGCATGCTATCACATGGAGCTTAGATCATCCACAGCCTGTCACCGTTCTACTATGGACCCCAAATAACCATGTCACCCACTACACTGACAGCTCACCTCTATGTCTACATATTAGCACCTTTGTACAAGATGACTTCTCACCCAGCCAATGACCTATGCACCAATTTTCTTGCCGTGGTGGTTCATCTGTAAAACCCAAGCTGTACCAAGCGCACCTTGTCTTTCAGGTCAGCCCTGTCCCATATCTGTCCATATTTAACCATTGCCCCCAGGACCTCAATAACATTTTTCTGCTTTATCCTTTGTTGTATTTTCTATAGATAATATTTCCCACTGCGTTGTGCGTCTGAGATATATATATATATATTCTCTCCCCATGAGATCATCCGGCTCGCTATGTAGCCTCTCCCCTCTATTAATAATCCAGACAGCCCACAGAGCACATGTCACCTCCTGTCCCTGATGACAGTCCTATCCTTCCAAATAAGCTGGCCTCATACTGATCTATGGAGGCCATATCTGCCCCTTAACTATCATCTTGTCCAGCTTGCTCCTAAACAGTCTGGTGTCACCCTTCACATATTCTAAAAAACACATCTGTTCGCAACGGGGTCACTGATGCCCGCACCCAGTACCAGCATAGTGCATCAGTAGTAATCCCAGGGACATCCAAGCACACTTCACCCTTCAGGCAAGCCCTGTCCATCATCTCCTTACCTTTCACCCCATCTGCCACTTCTGCCCCCAATGGCCTTTCATTGTAATCCCTACAGATTATATTTCACATCAGCCCCTGTTTGTTATCCCATACCTTGTGTCAGATCACCCCTGTTGTGACAGCCCACCTGTCACCTCCTGTTCCTGATGACAGCCCTGTCCACCATCTGATCACCCAACCTGATACTGCTGGCCCCAATAACCTTTCACCATGACCCCCACAGGTCTAGTTTCTCATTGTCCCCTGTGTGTTATCATTTGTCAGATCCCCCTACTCCCTATGCAGCTTCTCCTCTACCTGTCACTGTGGTTCCTCCACACAGCCCACCTGTCACCTCCTGTTCCTGATGACAGCCCTGTCCACTGATATTGCTGGCCCCAACAACCTTTCACCATATCCCCCAATGGCCTTATTTCTCATTGTCCCCTGTGTGTTATCCCATCCCTTGTGTCAGATCACTCTGCTCCTTTGCAGCCTCTACCCTACCTGTCACTGTGGTTCCTCCACTCAGCCCACCTGTCCTGATGACAGTCCTGTCCTCCATCTGATCACCCCACCTGTCATTCATGGATCCCCCTATGACCTTTCACTATAACCCTCACGGCTCATATTTCCAGTGCACCTTGTGTATAATCCTGTGTCAGACTCCTCTGCAGCCTCTACCCCCCTTTCAATGTGGTTCACCTGTCACCTCATGTCCCCCCTCCCCAGATTAGTTCCCCCCTCAGTACCCATTCTGCCCTATGAAGACCGTATCACCCCTCTGCCTCTTGCCCTTCATCTTGTCCTGCACTATCCCATCTCCTGCTCATCAGTCTGCTGTCACCCTTCATTTCATGTCCTGTCATGGTCACCTCTCCCCTCACCCCGTGCCCTTCACTGTGCCCCCCTCCCGGCTTACCCCATAAGCCACTCCATGTCTGCCGCCCCCTCCGGCTCAGCTCATCCTCGGGGTCTCCCGCTCCCCGGCTCCAGCTCCGACTCCGGCGGAAGTAAACACAGCACCGCCCGCAGCACGCACACTTCCGGGTCCGACGTCACCGAGCGGAGAGCAGCATGGGAGGAGGGCGCGCGGTGCATTGTGGGAGGGGCCGGTGACCGCTCTGCGCAATGTGCTCTGTCATGGGGTGCTGTCACTTTATAATAGCAACTGATCCCATTGCTTTTTCCTCCATAGAATGATACAGAGCTGCCCTGTGTGATCTCCTGAAAACACTGTACTGCCTGAGAGCACCCAGAGTCACCAGACAGCCAATCATGACCTTGGAATACAGATACCATTCATCAGTGCAGATGTCAGAAAATATTAAAGTAGATGGAAACCTTCAGCAGGATTTTAGGCCTATATGTTTTTTCCCCTAATTCCCCAGAATGCGCATCACGTTTGTGGCGTATTTTCCCACTTTTGTTGTGCATCGCCTATTGATTTTAATGGGTGCCATATGCACAACAAATGCAAGAAAGTAGCAGATTCTGCCACAGGCATACCCCATTCTTCACATTGCGTCTGTACCGTTTATCGCGCATCACTGTGTTGGAAAAAAAGTGCAAGTGCATTGCAGGTTTTTGACGCATTAAGTGGACGCGCATTTAGGGATGCATGGATACCGGTTTTCCTGTATCGAGTATGAGTACCGATATTTCTTTTTGGTACTCGCTGATACCGGATACCAATCCCGGAAGTCCCATTAAGGAAACCGGGCACTGTGTAATGACTCGCTACCTGGCTTCCTGATTAGCTGGGCAGCGTGCAAAGACTCGCCACCCGGCTTACCGATTAGCAGGGAAGCCTTCTCCATGCTCCCTCCCCACCTGGTGACGAGAAAGCATGGAGCCGACTTTCTGGCCAATCAGGAAGCTGGGCGCCATGTAATGACTCGTTGCTCTGCTTCCTGATTGATCGAGAAGCTTGCCAATCAGGAAGCCGGGCAACGAGTCATTACACGGCGTCTGGCTTCCTGATTGGCTGGAAGCCTAGTGGTGACGAGGGAGCATGTATTATTATTATTATACAGGATTTATATAGCGCCAACAGTTTGCGCAGCGCTTTACAATATAAGGAAGACATTACAATCACAATACAATTCAAGACAAGATGGTAAGGAGGGCCCTGCCCGTGAGGGCTTACAATGTAGCCGGCTTTCTGGCCAATCAGAAAGCCAGGGGGGCGGGTAATGACTCAACGTCTGGCTTCCTGATTGGCCAGCTTCCCAACCAATCGAGAAGCTAGGCCGCGAGTCATTACACGCTGCCCGACTTCCTGATTGGCCGGCTCCATGCTCGCTACCCAGCTTCAGGTATCAGGCTAGGCATTGGACGAGTACTTGCCCAAATACTCCGCACCGATACTAGTATCGGTGCATCCCTAAACACATCAATGCACATGTTTGGCACAGGTGGGAACAGGGACTTAAAGGAGAACTATGAGGTGAGTGCTTTTCACTCACCTCATAGTTCTAGCCGACCTTTGACAATGAGACGGTCACAGGTCAGCTCAGTAGATCGAGAGGTGAGCGAACACATACCGGCGTTCTCTCACTTCTCGATCCTGTCACGGCTCTCTGCCGTGACAGGGGAGGGGCTGGATTCCCCGCTCCAATCCGTCAGCGCTGACTGGCGGATCGGACGGGGGAGGGGGCGGGTACAGCTGCCTCTGCCAGCTGGCTCTGCCTCTATATAGGCAGAGCCAGCTGTCAGTCACGCAGCTGGGCGGATCCTGGCACAATTGTCGGGATCCGCTTCAGCTGCGGCGTCTCAGTATACCACGAGCAGCAGCTCGCGGTCTACTGCGGCATCTCAGTATACCGCAAGCTACAGCTCGCGGTATACTGAGCCTAGGGTGACGGGAGGACGCTAGTTTGTGTCCTCCCCTTACCCTTAGGAGAACTGTGGGGAAAAGCCTTAACCCCATAGTTCTCCTTTAAAGCAGGCCTTTACCCCCTTTCACTAAAAATCACATTAGTGTGCAGCTCTGCATGCTTATATGAAATCATCTTATATTCATTAGTTAAATAAACATTTTTCTTTTACTTACAATGATTGTTTTTCCACTTCCTGGTCCTTTTGGGCATTAGTGATGTAATGTCCCCAAGCGTTGTATCCTGGGAAGCGTACATCAGCAGAGCATTGCTGGGAAATCTCATTTGTAATCTCATGAAATCTTAGGGAAAGGCATTTTCCTCCCCTGGTATCATGTCATAGCCACATGTGCCAGAGTTCTAGGACGTAAAGAGAGATCTAGTAAGCTGCCCTTAGTTAAAATGGCCACTGTCAGAAGACTGAGGAAGAAAAGAAAAATAAGGTATGCAAAAAATAGAAAGCCGGCAATTATCTAGAAGTATGTGATTGTAGATTGTCATTAATAAACATTTCTGATGGTGCCTTTTAATGTTTTAAAGATAAAGATATTATTCCATTTTAATGTGTCTTCTATTGAAATCAAACCACATGTGAACACACGTGACCTTAGCACTAATTACAGGGGCGTCCCGAGGCAGGGTATCACCCAGAGCGAGTACCGGGTGACACCCCCAGTGACGCCTTTACACATGCGCATGACACCATCGCGCTGCGTCATCACGCACACGCGTGATGGTGTTATACGCTGTTACCTGCTGGCAACTATCTTGAGATGAGAGAGGGGGGACATTCACCTGGCAGGATAAGATATGGTGTCACCCGGGTGCGGGCCGCACCCCCCTGGTGACGCCACTGGCATGTTGCATGTCATTTATATTGACTGACACCTCAACACGCTAAGAGCCTGTTCGCACCACATGTGGTAACCTGCGTTTTTCTGCTCTTCCTTAACTAAGGTCACCACAAGAGCGCAAAAAACCCAGTTGTTTTCTATGTGCCTCGTCTACACCACAATGCTGCGTTGGTGTGGGCTGCAGTGCGTTGTGTACAAATGTAGATAATTTTAGGCCTCATTCACACGAGGATCGTCCTGCACCCCAATTGTCGCCACACAACAGGCACCAGCCCACACCCAAAGGCCCTATTCACACTGAGCGACATGGATATTGCGTGTTTTTGCTGAAAGGCTTTGAGCTAGTGCACATTTTATCGCGCGTTTTTTGGGCGGGACCTAGTCGCTGCTACATTGGGTTTTAACTAGGGATGCACCGATACTAGTATCGATATCGGTGCCGATTCCGAGTATTTGGGCGAGTACTTGTACTTGCCCAAATGCTCCGATGCCTAGCATGAGTACTTCCGGTATCAGGAAGCCGGGCAGCGCGTCATTACACGCTGCCCGGTTTCCCGATTGCCCTGGAAATGCCGGCTCCATGCTCTCTCGTCACTTGTGATGAGAGAGCATGGAGCCGACTTCCCGGCCAATCAGGAAGCCGGCAGCATGTAATGAAGCGCTGCCCGGCTTCTTGATTGGTCGGGAAGCTGGCCAATCAAGAAGCCGGGCGCCGTGTAATGGCGCAGCGCCCAGCATTTTGATTGGCCGGGAAGCTGGCTTCATGCTCCCTCGTCCTCGTGAGGTAAGGTTACCTTACCTTATTAGTATGTCCAGCTTGTCACCCCCGGGGCCTCTCCAGCCAGAACGCGGCCTTCCTCCGGTACCCAGCCGGAGCCGTCTGGCCAGTCAATCAGGAAGCCGGGCACCGTGTAATGACGCGACGCCCGGCTTTATGATTGGCCGGGAAGCTGGCTTCATGCTCCCTCGTCATCTCATGACGTGGGAGCATGGAGCAGGCCAGGGGAACATAATTGTTATCACTCGTTATTGATAGAGTACAAGCATTCTGCAGTACTTTACAGATTGTCAGAAGGCTCGGGCCCATGACCCGCTATGTCTAAAGGTGAGTGTGAGCTACTTTTAATTTCCTGTCTCTGTAGCTAACCCAAGAGGCTCTGGGAATCCTTTCTCAAGAATAAACTGTTTATTTGTAAAACAAAGAATATACAATCAGTCTGTGTAAGGCCCGGCAGGGGGCGGAACGATGTGCAGGTTCGGCCCATCACCGTGTTTACTTTTTAAAAAAAACTTTATTGAGAGTCTACAAAGTGTACACTCCATTCAGGTCTCTGCACAGCAGTGTGCTGTGGTGCAGTGGCCTCTGGTACCATCTAGTGCGCTGAAGAAAAATGCTGCATGTCAGTCTTTTTCCGCACCGCACAATGCTGTGGTGTGAGCGGGGCGCATTGAAAATAGTTGTGTCTTATGTAACCTAGGGGTTACCCACATTTTTTGTGTGCAGAAAAAACGCAGGTCACCACATACAGCCTGAAACAGCAACTTAAAAATGTATAGACTTTGAAAATGAAATAGAATTCACCCAAAACTGTTATAGTCTTCTTTTAAAGTGGCTCTGCCATGAGAGCAGTACAGGGGCTGCCATTACTGGATCAGCCAGCTGAAAATGCTTGTTGCCTGCCTCTGCCTGCCCTTAGAGTAGAGTAGAGAATGGTAAGCAAGGACCTGGGAAGATTTGCTATAATTATAAGGAACATTTATACGTATTAATGGTGGCTATGCTGGTCACTGAAAAGATTTACCCTTTGTCTGGAATTTCTTTTAAAAAATACAAAATTTGGTATGTGAGGGTGCCTAGGCCTTCCTGTGTCTAAAGCCTCATTGCTGTGTTACTGAAGTTTGAGATCTAAAGCACTGCTGGCTCTGACTGCTAGTCCCAGGAAGTATAAGATATAGTGATGTCATTAATGTGCTGCTCACTATTCTTCTTGCTGGGGGCTCTGATATTGCCTCGTTGCCTCTTCCAATGTAGCCTCCTCCACAGAAAGACAGGGGGGTATTTATAAAACATTGGCAAAGCTGTTCTCTCTACGAACGTTTGTGTTGTAGATTCACTGCACATTATGGCTAATAGATGGAGCCAATGGGCTTAGGAATTTCCTATGCTCTTTGGCTCCATCTAGTGGGCATAATGTGATGCAAATCTACAACATAGACATTCGCAGAGTGGACAACTCTGCAAACATTTTATAAATACACCCCGTAGTGTAAAGTAAGGGCTAGTTCACACCAACCCCAGTGTGTTCCCGACCGCACTGGATGACATTCCGGCCGGCTCACTTTGTCCAGCT